ATCAATTCTTCAACCATCATCAATTCTTCAACCATCATCAATTCTTCAACCATCATCAATTCTTCAACCATCATCAAACTCTTACCACCTCATCCTCTCTGTGCACCACCAACCATGGCCAATGCTGCTCTCGATCCGCAGCCTGACCTCGCCGCTAGTGCCAATGCTGCTCTCGGTCCGCAGCCTGAGTTCGCCGTCATGGCAGCCGGTTGCGAGGAGACGGCCAACACTTTCACCATGGTGATACGAACTCGAAACTGCCAGAATTTGCCAACTCTGCAACGCGACAACAGGATCATGGCTGAGTTACGGATCATATTCGAACTACTGGATCACATCAAGGAGGGGCTCAGGCGCCTTGAGGAGGGGGTCGGGCGCCTTGAGGAGCGGTTCGACCGCATGGAGGAGCGGTTCGACCGCATGGAGGAGCGGCTTGACCGCGGGTTCCGTCGTGTCGAGGTGCAGTACGTGAAGAATACCCTTTCGAACCCTCGCAGACATGGTGCTGGCTAACATAAAACCTACATAGCCAGCTGAACAACCAAGCCCGCCTCGAGAACAGCCACAATATCGCTGGCAACGTCGCTGAGGACCTCACGCCGCTCTATTCGTTGACGGCGGCCGATGCCCAGCTACAAGTTATCCCGCACTTCCCCTCCCGCATCAACGACATCGGCTAGCTAGACACTGTACGAGTCAACAAGTTGCTCCGCCATTTGGAGCAGGGTACTAGCAGGACGAGGCTCAAGAGGGCGGTAGGGGGGTACATTACGCCACACTGGCTCGTTTGTGAAGGTCTAAGCTCTGCGGCATTCCTACTGGCGTTTGGGGCGAGGCATTGTTTGTTAGCACTAGCATTGGGCTAGAGTTACGGATTTGCATGCGGTGGCTACGGAAGGAGACTGGCGGCCTCTTTAGGTAATTAACTCGAATAGCATTGGGTACGGAGCACATGGTCCATGCAAACCTTTGGCGCCTGCACAGATATCATCGTGAGACGAGTACTCTGGATTTGGATAGATGTTGAGCTGCGGCTGAGACTGGGCGCTTGCGCGCGGCTTTCGTGTTTCGAGAGGTTCGTGCCTTGTTTCTTTCTCTCGCTGCTGCTCAGCTTTCGTCTGCTGTCTATCCCACCCATGATTGTGCTCGTCCAGTGCTATTCGCCGGGCCCAAAGAAGTCCTCCGCGAGTTACTCGCTCCAAGAACTCCAGGCCCGCAGGCACACCTGCAACGCCTGCCAGCGCCGTATTCTTACTGGCTGTTGCGCCAGGATCGCTCAGAAATATATGCGACGGCGATACAAAGCTGAGCGAGCGCGGCGCAGGGCGTGATTATGGGTGGGCGCGCGCGGGCTGGCTGGCTGGCTGGCTGGCTGGCTGCGGGCATGGCTTTCTGGATTTTGACTAACTCCGCTAACTCCGGCGCGCTGGCTGCGGGCGGCGCAGGATTGATTTCTGAACTTTTGATGTTCTGTGGCTGGGGCGCTCTGCAGTGGCTTGTGGGGCTGCAGCAGGCTCTGATTGGCGGCCGTACGCGCTAGCCGTATTGTGAGGGCTGGCTCCGCGGTCTCCAGCCGCTGCATCTAGAGCCTCTGCCCGAGCGCAGTGCCCCTTCGCGTCGATCATGCAGGCTTAACTGAGAATCACCTCCTCGTCGACGACCATCTCTTTCGCTGTCGTACCTCCGGGATGGGCCTGTCTGATTCGCGCCGCCGACGGCTTCGAAGCGCACCGGCCTGGTCCTTTTTCGGACCCTCAGACGCGCGCGCTCTTCTGCACAGCAGCACGTCCTATTTATACCATGGCTTCTCGCATCGTGTCCGCCGGCTCCATGCCTTCTGTTTGCACCTCGCTCTCCATCCTTCTCTCAATCGCTCATCCGGTCGAGCTCCCACACCTTCAGCTCTCGCGGCGAGACGTGTCCGACGACGGGCTGCTCCATGGCCCCTCGCAGGAGAGACGACGGCGAGAACGACGTCGACCGTTCGGCGGAGTACTACATTCAAGAACGCAACGCATTCGATAAAGGCAAGGTCAACAAGCGAAAGTATGGGGATTCCAGCGAGTACTTGCAAAAGATGATCAAGCAGCAGTGGCAAAAGTGAGTTAGCCCAGTCCCTATCCTCCCCCTACGACGTGCTCACGGACGCCTCGAGCAGGTACTTCGGTGTGATCCGAGAAGACGCGCACTAAGCTCTTCTGGACTTCGCGGTCCTAGACCTGGGCTGCTTCTTCCGCTGGCTCCTCCGGGAGAGTCGCGGCAGCATCGACTCGTCCCGAAGCTTGCAGACGTACTGGAACGTCCTCTGCATCGTGCGCAGGCAGGAAACTGGCCGCATCGACATCGATCCCGTCGTCAAGCATCAGATGAAGAACGTACGTCGAGTCGCGACACCTCCGACGCAGTCTTCATGCGCTCATGCCATCGCAGGTCAAGCAGCAACTGGTCGAGGAATTCGGGTTGAGGACCGAACCAAAGGAGAAGTGCTCACTACTATGGCGCGTTTTAAAACCACATCTAGGCGATTATTCTGATTGGTCAGAACTGATCGAGTGTCGACTGGTCCCTGCGGGACCAGTCAGATCTTTGACGGGCGTGACGTTGCTTACGGCGTGTCTCAGCCCCACCGGATATATTTCGCGACGGCGGCTTCATTATACTCAAGCATGGGGAATCTACAGAACCTATCCTCATTGATTTTAATCTGCTCTCAACAGGCACGCCTGGGTGGGTAGAAAAGGATCCGCACACGTCGACATCCCGCCTCGCATCTGATTGCGTATGACTCACATCTCCACGCACGCAGATAAACTGTGTGGGACGCGGGTCACACAGGTTTATCCAATTCGCCATGATTAGGGCAGCAGCATTCACGTGGTCAGATCCCATTCGGGCTCTGCTAGCAACGACATGCTGACTCTCCACAGCGCCGCGCGATTTTCGTGAGCAAACCGGCACCACAACGCTTAGCTCCGAACAAGGACTCTTCGAGAACCCAGCTACTTTCAGAGATCTTACTCCTATATCCGACATCACGGATAGCCACGATCTAGCTAAGCACTGTCGGGACAATAATGACGGGACAGGATCGGGCGTTGCTGCTGGAGATTACGAGGTTGACTGCGACCAAATCATGATCGATTTGGACGAAGCGGATCCACGTTGGACCGGAGGCTCTAGTACTGCCGGCGACAAGCCGGAGACAACATCCGAGTCCATCGCCATCTGTGTAGGTGCACAAGCCGCCAGAGTCACAGACTTTTAAGTGCGCACGTCTAGCCCGCCGTCACCCGCAAACACAAGCCCAGAGTGTCCCGGAAGCGCCCTGGACCTACCGTCTGCCAATTCTCAAGCCCAGCCCATTAGTCTAGCCAGTGACAATCACGCTGAGATGGCCAGATCACGACCCGCCACCTCTCGATGTATTTGAGGATACTGAGGTTGATGATGTGGATTTTTCATCCATCGTTGATGTGGTGCCCACACCGAGCGCGGCCACGCGCACCCGCAAGGTACGGCTCCCACAGAGGTATCGCACGTAGTTTATCGTTGCCAATCGATTTATCAAGCTTCTGCAAGTGCTACTCCAAAAAATCTAGTGATTTTACGATATATATAGAGCTCTGCAGCTTCAAAAGTTGTGGGTGGAGGCATCCGAAAATCGTGCGTCAGGTGGGGACGTGCGCCAGGTGGGGAAACCCAGTACAGTATTAAATCGCTCTGCTCATCGTATCATAACGTGCGTAAGCGGTCATACTTCCCCTACACATTCGGCTCTTGACCAGACTCGCAAAGAACAGGATAATCGCAAAAACTTGAGGCTCGCATTGATCCCCAAATGGACTGAGCTCCCATGACTAAGCAAACTCTGGTTTGATTGCCTTGTGCGGCCCGCAGCTGACTAATCATCGATCGCTTCTGGGTGCCATAAGGGCGGTGAGCGAACCAAGATTCCGAGAATATAAATAATGACAGGATCTTCCCTTCACTCTCATTCCCCGGCTACCACAAGACCCAAGTTTATCCAGCTACCTACACGTCATGGACGTTAATTTCATTGTGGACTCTTGCAATGAGGCTCTCAGAGATGCTTGGAAGGTCCGAGTTCAGAAGATGAGCAATACCAACAGCTTCACCCAATGGCTATCTAGCATTCACCCCCAACAACTACCTTGCAGCGTCGAACTGAACAAATACAACTATCCCTATTGGAGAAATGGCTCCTTCAACGCCTGCCTGAAGGTGACCTTCAGCAACGGCAAGGCCTTCATAATTCGCCTCCCGATGCCAGGGAAAACCCGCGACAGACATCTCGACGAGAAGATTGGCGCTGAAGTGGCGGCAATCTCGATTATCCGCCAGAGGACCGACGTCCCAGTCCCCGAGGTCCTCGCTTGGGGTCCCGCTAGCGATAACCGTCTGGGCTTGGGACCATTTATGCTGGTCGAATACGTCGAAGGGCTTCCTCTGCAGAGCCTTCTCCTCGATCCCAGGATCGGTATCATGAAGGCCGATGTTGACAAGACGCTCCTCCGAGGCATGTTCCGGCAAATGATCAACGTTCAGCTTAAACTATATAGCGTCGACCTTAATTTTATCGGAAGTCTGGACCTGCAACCCCAGGCAAGAGTTAATGTTGGCTCTGGGAGCCCACCCTTGACCTTCAAGGCGACCGGAATGGGACAGCTCGGAGGAATCGACGGACTTGGTAAGATATTCAATTTTGTCTTAGCTAGCCCTCGCAGTGTTTAACACAAGGGTGATATTTAATAGGCCACCGATCCCAAAGATTCGGATCAGCTTACGAATACCTTTCCTACCTCCTTGAACAGAGCTGGCAGCAAATCATGATGCAGCCGAACGCCGCTCGGAACGAGACAGAGGCAAGCGCCCTATTTCGAGCATTCACGGTCCTTCGGTCGCGGCTCGGCGACTTTGTCCATCCGACCTACAATCAAGGGAGAGCAAAGCTAGTCTGCGATGATCTAAGCATGAAGAATGTTATACTTAAGCCCGTAGACGATCCCGACTTTCCCGCCTTCGCGGGCCTTATCGACCTTGAGTTCACTTATGCCGCACCCGCCCAGCTGGCTGCCACGATTCCCTGGTGGCTTCTCGAGGATCGTCCGACTAACGAGTCGTGGGACTGCGATAAGGGCGAGCCGCAAGACCTCTGGGAGAGATTGGTGGAGCATAAAGAAATGTACATGGCTACCTTAGCTGAGGTAGTAGCTGAGAGGGCGCAGTTAGGACACGGGGCAAGTGATAGGGAATTCGTCGAGCTGGCCGAATGGTCGTGGGACTCAGGCGCCTGCTGGGTCCACATGATCCTCACGGTCAACGGCCCCGGCTGGGCCAGCTTTCCGCTAATCCAGGTTAGAAAGATATACCGCGGACAGTGGGAAGTAGAAGAAGCGGCCGTTCCTCAAGGGCAGGTCGATGAGTTTGTCGCGGCGAAGATGGCTAGCTTGCAGCAGTATCGTGCTAAAGCTGATTGGATGAGGGCCGCGAAGGCGGAAATGAAAGAGGGAAGGATGACGCTGGACCAGTTCACGTCCTTAGCAAGCCAATTACATCCTTAGTGGTAGGGCGGCTATTGCTGTTGTGTTACATTTGTAACTCTTCGTTGCTGCTAGAAGCGCGGTTGAGACGGCGCTTCGACAGGCTTGATCGGCGTCGTTCGCGGCTATTTCGTTGCAATAGAGGACTGTAGGAGGAGAACCAGATGTAATCTACAAGCGCCTTGATGTATTGAGATGCGCTTTCGAAATAGCCCTCTGTAGAGGCGGGATGACGACCCGGTGAAGTAGAGCGAAATCGACGCAGCCCACACGAGGAGTAATGTCGCGAGGTGTATCCGTCGAAGCCATCGTCGGAGCGTCGGGCGGTTAATTGTGATATCCCACGAGGGCAGTATGTAAATGGTCTGTCCTTGTTGTTAGAGTGTCTGGTTGCGACGACGCAAAAAGTCCTCTGAGCGGGATGGGTTGGGGTGGTGGCACCGTACCTCTAGGAAGTCGGCGTAGGTAATGCAAATCGGCAGAATCACGAATCTGGAGGGACAGCGGCGACCTACATGAGACTTGGCCAAATGCCATTTGCGTGTTGGGCCGACGGCTACCGAATGACACGCGTTCCCGAGGTCGAACGAATTCACGGGCGGAGTTTATACGTGCAATTTCGTGCCTGGCAACTCTGCGTAATTGCTTTTCAGCGCTTTCGCGGCCACGTCCAATCCTTCTATGACTACAGTAAACTCTCGATTTAGCGATCTGGCGTTTTCGACCAATTCGTATCGTTATATCGTGAATATCGCTTTAATAAGAGTAATTCTCATACAAAATCGGGAATTCTGGTCAAGCAGAAAATATAACACGGACCTCCTTTGCACCCGTGTGTGGCTTACCTTGTATCGCGCCTTCGAGAGTTTACTGTATCCACCTAAACTAAGGTACCCAAGCACCTATGTACGTGATTGGGGTTGGGCTGTCGGCACCTGCCTCCCAAGCACAGCCAAATGAACGAAGGCATGACATGCAGTGAATTTCCACTAATAGACTAACCTCGCGAAGGGCTTTTCATGTTGGCGAGTGACACTACTCCTTTGCGTGTCTACTAGCCTGGATAATAATGACAAGGAATGACTCGGGTTGAAACACGCAGCCCATTCGTCGTCCACGGCGCACAAGATTGGGGATGCAGCTGCGACCAGACCACACCAGCGTTTGAACTGGCTTCCTGCCCGAATGGCTGCAGCGGGTGGGAGAGCTTGGCCACGCAAGGGTGCGCGATGGCGCCGCTGCCGCTGTGCGCCCTGTTTTCATGTGCATGTGGTTAGCGTGCTTTGGTCTATCACTGCCGTTGGTTTGTCGGATATACCTATTTCTAAGCCGCCCCTCGCCTCCCTTGCGAGCTCTTCCCTGCGTCCTGCATCTGCTGGCGCTGCTCTTCGGTCAAGTGCTGAATGTTCTCGGTGATTCTCGCCTGCTCGGCAGCCTTCCGGGCCTCGTCGGCTGCCTTCTGGGCGGCAGCTGCCTCCGCCGCTTTCTTGTCTGCTTCGGTAGGCATGGTGATTGATGAGATAAGAAGGGAGGCCCTTGGGGTAAATATGTCTGTATAATTGAATGTAGTTGCGATGATGGCCGTGAAGATGTTTGTTGATGATGATGGTCGAGTTGAGTCTGAGCTGAAGTTCCTGGTCTGACGCCTTGGAAGAATTTTTGCTGAAGGCGAGTTGGGGGATTCTTATATATTGGATGAATTGCAGAGTATTGAGACATGAGTTGATTGATTAAGAATACGAGAAATATGGCTATATATATACATGACTAGGTTACGTAAAGTAGTAACTATATCTAGCAACACACCCCCCCAGCTTAGAGTGTATACGGAAAGCTGTCTAAGAAGGTAAGGCTTTTAACTATACCTAAAAAGGTAATTAATAATCGTCTCCTGTGAATACCCCCCTTAGTGCTGTGGTGTTCTGTAAGAGCCACCCCCCTTGTAAGAGAACTCTGTAGAGTTAAAAAGAAGTACAGAAAGTAGAAGAACCGCGTCGTCGTCTAGGCGGTAGCTTAAACCTAGAAGCAAAAAGTAAAGTCGCTCTATTTACCTCTAGAGGCTCCGCTAAATAGCTTGAAAGCCTTGACAACGTTAAAGAAGGCACATACTATTGTACCTTTAGCCCGCCTAGCCGTAGCCGCGAACGTTAACTTTTAGGTAATAGTAGTTAAGAAAGAAATAGTATATATATAAGATTTAAAAACTAGTTTACTTCTATAAAGTATAGAGAACTTAAAATAAGTAGAAAGAGTATATACTTAAGAGAGGTAAGAGCTTTATATATAAAGTTAAGCCTATTTCTAATTAGAAAGTCTAATATAGAATCTAGAGGTTAGGTTTAGATAGTAAAGCATTTAAGTGTTTAAGTAATAGTATAATACCTCTCTATTACTAACTTCTATAGCTTCTACGTAGGTAAAAAGAGAGATAGAGTAATAGTAAAGGCGTAAATTAAACTTAAGAGTAGAGAGTAAAAAGAAAGAACACCTTATTTAATAGCTTTTAAGGTATTTTTATAGTTGCTATAGCCTCTTATAGCTTATAGTAATCTTATAGAGTAGATTATTAAGTAGACGTTAACACGTTACTATGCTTTTTATTAAGACTAGGCTTATTATAATAAACGTAGCCTATTAATTTTATAGTTAATCTAATAGATTATAATAAACGTAGCTAGTTAAGATATAATAGAATTACGTATAAAACTAGTATATATATACGTTAAAATTAATAGAAAATAGTTAAATAAGTGTAGTAGACGCTTCTATAGTAGAGCTAGAAGTAAAATAAAAGTAAATAGTTACCTTAGAGGTCTTAAAATACTAGCGAATTAGGCATATATTACTTAGGTTAGGTTTACTATCTAATCTAGTACTAGCGTAAGAGGTTCTTAGGTAGCTTCTACTACTCTACTAAGAATAGCGAAAGCTTTAACTTACTAGAAATATTCTTAAGCTCTAGCTATTAAATAAAGTAGACGTGTTTTTAAGGTAATAGAATCTTTATAAGTCTATTAGCTAGTATTTAACCTATAGAAATCTATTTAACGTTAATTCTTTAGTTTTTAACTTTCTAGTAAAGCTATATTTAGTGTATATTAACGTATTTAAGCTTTATCTAAAGCTTCTCTATAGCCTTAGTTACTATACCTATAGTCTACTAATTATTACACTAAAGCTTTAGTTTAATATTAAGGTTTAGCTTTAGGTAGTAGAAAAGTAGGTTCTACTACTCTATTTTTAAAGCTATCTTTAAAAGCGCTAGAAGCTCTACCTTAGTTATTAATTTAGTTACTATCTATTATTTTATAGCTTTCTAATCTATAGGTAATCTATATAGCTTAAAGATATAGTCTTTAGAGCTTACTTTAGTATCTAGATTATTACTAAATAAAGCATCTAAGGCTCTATAGAAGATAGGCTCTTTAAAATCTACCTTCTAGAAGTATTTCTTCTTTATAGCGTATTATAACGCTTTAAGCATAAGAGTTTTTAACTCTATAAGGTATTACTATACATGTATAGCAGCGTAAAGATATTATTAACCTAGGTTAATTAAGTATTAAGCTAACACTAAGTAAGCTCTTAATATATCTAGGCGTATAAAGTAGAAAATATATACTAGTAAGCTAACTAGCTGCTAGAAAAGCTTCGTTTGCTCTCTATTAGGTGTCTCTGTAGATTTCGCGAAGTTATTCTCTCTTATAGAGAATTGTAGATACTTAGCACCTAGTTTTAGAAGTAGGTTAAACTTATTAGCAACCTTATTAATAAAGAAATTCTAGATTAGCTAGGTTAACGCTATATCTCTTACGACTTATATACCTAGAAACTAATTAAGTTAACCTATCTTTCTAATCTTATACTTTTTAAGTAGGCGGCGTTTAAACTCTACGTAAACGTCTATATTATCTAGGTAGATAAGTATAACAATATTATTAATAAAGAAGAAGACTATAAGCTTGTTACTAGCCTATAGGCATAGTATAATACTTATTTTAATAAGTTCTAACTTCTTAAGAGTCTCTATAAAGTTCTTATACTATAGTAGAGGTGCTTTCTTTAGTCTATATAGAGCTTAATACAGCTCTAAGAGCTTGCTAAACTAACTAGTAAAACCTTCTAGAGTGTAGTAGTAGAGCTTCTATAGAAGCTTTGCGTTTAGAAAGACGTTTATAGCGTCGTACTAATATATTAGTAATCTAAAGGTAGTTACTATAGCTACTAGAGCTTAAAAGGTTCTTGCTACTAAGGTAGTAGTATAGGTATCGCTCTATTATATTTAGAGGTCTCTTTAAACTACTAGATAAGCTTTACACTTAAGTAGATATTCGTCTTTATTAAATTTATATAATAATACCTATATAAGTAGAAGGCACTCTACTATAGTTAACGCTAGCGTTACTAATGTCTTCTTAAAGCACTCTTTCTTAAAGTAGTTACTAAACTCCTTCTATATAGCCTCTTTAAACTTAGCTTTAAATATATAGCCTTTAATATTCTTATAATACTTAGGTAGAGATAGTATCTAATTATAGTAGTATTTTAACCTTATAGACTCTCTATTAACTCTTAGTTTATTAATATAGCTTACTAAAGCTATAAATACGTAGTTATACAAGTTTATTAATAGTATTAAGTTAAATATTTAAGCTTTCTTTTATGCTTTAATTACGCTAGCTATATATTTAGACCTTAAGAGAAAGTATCTATAGCGTCTACTCTATATTATATTACTTAGGTCTTTAGAATTAAGGTTTCGACGTAGTAGAGTATTATTCTAGTACCTATCTAGTATATATTTAGGGTCTTCTATAGCTCTAAGAGGTCTTTATAGTAATTTAGCTTAAATAGTAGATAAGCTTAGCTTAGAGAGGTTAGTCTCTCTTAATACGCCTCTTAAGCTCTTACTATATAGAGTAGAGTGTCTTAATAACGCTAGAGTAATTAAGTAACCTCTTAGAGACTTATTATACTTCTTAGCTTATTATTACTTCTTCTAGATTTGTATTTCTAGGTCTTTTTCTACTAATTCTTTAGCTAGTATATATTGCTCTAGTGTTAACGTCTATTCGTTTAAAGTTATATTAAATAGACGTAATTAGCTCTATAGTAGTAGATCTTTAACCTCTACTATAAGCTCTTTATAAGAAATATTATACACCTTAATATTACTTATATTAACTACTAGAAACTTTTTATATTTACTACTATTATTCTTGTATAGCTTATTACGTATAAATAAGATATCTTAAGTTTAGATAACCTTATTCTTTAAGAGTATCTAGATTCTAAAGATATTTAAGAAGTCTTATTCTAGTAGGTAACTAATATAAGTACGTGCTTCTAGTTTATTAGCTTTCTTAAGGTTCTTTCTATAAATATACGCTTAATAGCTAATAGAGGCGTAATAAGCTACTAATAGTTTATAATCTATTACTACCTTATATAGAGTTTTCTAGCTATTTAATTTAATTAGCGTAGTATTAAGAATCTAAATAGCTATAATAAATAGCTCTAAAGCTAGCTTCTTAGGTAATCTAGCTATAATTCTTATTACTTAGCTTTTTATAATTATTACGT